CATTACGTCACCCTCAGTAGAGTGCTGTGGTGTCACAGCTCACAGCAACCTCAAACTCCTGGGCTTAAGCAATTCTCTTGCCTCAGCCTCCCAAGTACCTGGGACTACAGGTGCCTGCCTCCCAGCTACTTTTTTTCTTGCAGTTGTCATTGTTGTTTAGTAGGCCTGGACTGGGTTTGAAACCGCCTGCATTGGTGTATGTGGCTAGCTCCCTATCCACTGAGCTATGGGCGCCGAGAACGTAGAGAGAAATGCATATTATAACTGCATAAGTACTGTTTGAGCTACATTCCATAGGGTTTTATCGTTCATCTCATTTTTTTTATTATTTTTTTTTACACTTTCTTTTTTTAGATGAATTAAAATTACTACTGACAATTTATGTTAGGACAGATCAATGTCTTATATATTAGGACAGACCAATGCTTTATAATATTGGAACATACATATAACTTAACCCATATAAAATTAATCACCATTTCATATTTGACAACATTTCCTATACATTTTTTAATAAATCAAATAAGTTTAATTTGTTTTCCTATGACTTTCAGTGGTCTTAATATTTCAAGAAGACCAAATTTAGAGTTGTGGTTTTTTTGTTTTTGTTTTTGTTTTCTGTTGGCCGGGGCTGAGTTTGAACCTGTCAGTCTCAGTACATGTGGCCAGCACTGCAACCACTGCACTATGGGCGCCCACCCCCAAATTTAGAGTTTTGATTTTGGAAGGTTTGTCACATATCAAAGGCCTAAAACATTGGTTCAAATAAGATTATAAGCTGAAAGATTTTTAAAGGAAATACATAGTCAACTGGATCACATGTGAATTCTTTCACAAATTCACTTTTATGAGCTTCATTTAACCTGCACAGACAATCTACAAACATTCTAAACTTTCTTTAACTTTTGCCCTGCCTTTCACTTTCTTACACAACCATTCTGTTTCAGGACAAAATTTATCACACAAGATTCTTTCTTTAGACCATGCCATTCTCCTTTCTGTCTAATTTCTCTTACTCTCAAAAACTCACTTCCCACGAAACATAACTCAGTTTACTATGAAGTCATCAATTCACTCAGCCAAACCGATAATTAGAAGGTTTAAAAAGAAGAATCTTATCCTTTGACAAAGACTCAGTTTCCCCAACAATTTAAACAAGCAAATTATTACATTTTACAAATGAGAGACATTTTATGAGATATAAAATGATACAGGATTTTCCCACTCAGGGCTGGACAGGGAACCCCCATTTTTCAGGCTCAGGTGAGCTCAGACATCAGACTCCCATCTCCAGGCACAAACATGTTGCTAGGCCATGCCCTCTGAGCTCTAGCAAGGTCATGAATAAAGCAGCCTGAAACCTTTTGGATGGCTCCACCCTGACCAAGGAGCACACACCCTACTCCCCTCCCCAGACAAAAACTTCAGCAAAGACCTAATAACGTTGTCCAAAGTGAGGGGCTTCATTCATTCATTTGTTAGAACACCCATTCAGTTTGTAAAGGTATTTTTCCATTTACCGAGTCCTGACCAAAATATCTCTCAGGGCCAATTATTTACCCCTAGACAAAGGACTCATGCAGGAAACCTCCGACCTGGGCCTCCTCTCCCCTTCCAGAGGCTGTCCCCCTTGGAGACCTGTTACTGATATTGATACAAGCCCATCCAGCATGAGATTTACACTCTCTCCCCCAGATTTTCAGGGGCCGTGCAGAGCTCACCCAACTGCCCGAACCACAACACTTTCCAAGGCATGGCCCCTCTGCCAATAGCTCTGGCACTCTCCTCTTCCTCTGCATGCCCCTGCGTCCAACAATATCCCATCTTATCACTGATCTGTGGCCTGTGGGCTCAATTCTCAAATTCCTGAGACCAAAGACTCACCGAAGAAACTCCAGGAACAAAACTACAACAACATCCTTTCTCATGTCTTTTCATTTTCCCCCAAGACTCACATGGCCATGTGGCTGCCACCAAAGACAGAAAGTGGAAAACCTGGAACTTCCAGTTCCTCTGAGAATAGCCAGGGAGCAAAGTTGGAGCAGGGAAGAAGGGCACACTCACACATTAGTTTCACCCCATGAATGGGGGGGAGTGTGTGTTCGAAACCCCACCTATTGTTACCCATCTCAGTCATTCTCCAAGCACTCACGTACACACAATTCCAACCCATTTCTTAACCTGGGCAGTCTTCATTTCCCACTGGAGCTGCCACTAAGCCATAGGAGGTGACCTAATACTCCTCTAGGCCCTGTGAAAGGAGGTCCAACTCCACCCTCAGAGTTCTCTTAGTCACACCTCTCAACAGACCTGCCAGTGGCGATCTAATGCCCAAGGAGTTGATCAGGCTCCTTCTTTCACTAAAACTGTAGTGGGACCCCCAGATCAATCATACCTTGCCTTAGACATCTCCCTGTGTAGGTCCCTGTTCCTGCATGCCAGTTCCTCCCCATGTTTGCCTCCTTGTAGACCTGCCAAGGGGATCCTTTCTCCGCCCAGCCAAGGCATCCACACAGGGAGGCCAAATTGCCTCCCTGGTGCGCTCAGTGGTTCACGATGCCCAGGCTGATCAAGGGCTCCCACGTGGGTGTCCAAAGGATTGGTGGCAACTACCAGGTGCGTGTTCTCTCCAAGGGTGATCTTGCTTCCCGGTTAGGGAACCAAAAATGTTGCAGGAAGACGAGGCCCAATGGAGAGAAAGAGCACCCAAACGCCATGTTTATAAGAAGGGCTTTATTCACCAGTCAGGAGCTTACGGCGTAGGAGAATTCCAAATGGCCTCACTCTCATTTTTTTTTAATCATTTTCCTTGTGATTTCTTCTTTGTCCTCTTGGTTATATAGAATTGTATATTTATTTTATTTATTTGTTTATTTTTGAGACAGAGTTTCACTATGTTGCCCTCGGTAGAGTGCCTTGGCACCACAGCTCACAGCAACTCCTGGGCCCATGTGATTCTTCTGCCCCAGCCTCCCAAGTAGCTGGGACCACAGGTGCCTGCCACAATGCCTGGCCATCTTTTATCGCAGTTGTCATTATTGTTCAGCTGGCCTGGGCCAGGTTCAAACCCTCCAGCTGCAGTGCATGTGGTTGGCACTGCAATCACTGTGCTATGGGTACCAAGCCTAGAACCGTGTCTTTAAATTTCTATAAAATTGTGAATTTCTTAGGTTTTCTTCCTTTGCTGATTTCTAAAGTTATTCCACTGAGTTTGGAGAATATACTTAGCATGACTGCATTCCTTTTAACATTTATCAAGTCTTGTTTTATGGCCTGGAGAATGTTTCATGTGCAACTGAGGAGAATTTCTATTGGGCTGTGATTGGGTGGAATGTTCTGTATGTGTTGGTTAGATGTGGTTGAGCTACAGTCTTGTTCAGTCTTGTGTTCCCTTGTCGATCTTTGGCCTAATGCTTCAATCTGTTATGGAAAGTGGGGAATTGAGGTCTCAATTCTTACTTTTGAATTATTTATTTATGTCTCCCTTCTCCCTTCAATTCTATCAGCTTTTGTGTCATGTATTTTGTGGTACTGTTGTTAGAAACCATTAGGACCTTGGGATAGGCAGTTATGTATATGGACATAACTGAAACATGAACCAATTCTTCTCAAAACTGTTACCCAGTTGCTCAGCTATTTGAAGAGTCTAAGAGGGCATGGGGTGACCTCTCATGTAAGGATGCTCAACTCTGGGGAAGCTTTGAGGAAGAGTACCACCCCTACCTGGAGAGAATGGGCCTCAGGGTAGACGTGAGGCAGGTAGGACAGGTGAAGGTCTGAAAACCAGGTCACCCTGCCAGTAGATGGTCACATGCAGGCCTCATCTGCCAGCTTTCTCTTTGCTGTGGTTTTGGTGTCCACAGCCCATGTGAAGAACCATCCTGGGACAGCCAAACCACAGGCCCTTCTTGCCCATCTTGCATCTCATGGTCTTGGCATGGTCTTTCTGCCCTTGCCCCCAACCCCCAGCTAGCTGGGCATCCATTTGTCGTTCTCCTTCCCATCTCTTATTTATGAAATAAGAATACAAGACATGGGCGGCGCCTGTGGGTCAAAGGTGCCGGACGCCAGCACCATATACCAGAGATGGCGGGTTCAAAACCGGCCTTGGCCAAAAACTGCAAAAAACAAACAAACAAAAAAAAACATGAGTGATCTTGTGACATACCTGTGCTAAAAAATTATCTGTTGTTTTTCTGAGATTCCAATTTAACTGGGTGTCCTTTAATTTTTTTTTGATAGTCCTAATGGGGTTTGTCAGCACAGTCTAGAACTTATATTTTCCATTCTGTTGAATACTGTATTCCTACTTCCGAAGGGACCAAGTATAGTTTTGTAAAATTACAATTTTAAACTCTGACTTGGTAACAAATGAATGCTTTGGATGGCGTTCAGATCCACGCACTAGCAGGACACACCCGCTCACTTCCCTTGGTACTGGTACTGGCTCCTTTCTTCACCCATTTTTGGACCACATACTCCCTTTCTATTTTTAACTTCCTCACGTACTTCTTGCCATTACATGGCCGCTTTTCCCCTAGGACCCACTGAGGACTGTAATAGAAATCCCGTCTTCTTCCAGGAACGTGTTCTCAGAGGGTGTCCCTGTGCCTGGAAATGCTCCACACATGACTCCGGAAATGGGGTGGGGGTGGACAGTGTAAGCTTTCCTCTCCCCGTCCCTTTGGTCACCAGGAAGTAGGTGCATACACTAATGTGAAAAAACAACAAGAAGTATCTGCCAACAGCCTCCACCAAGATAAGCACACGGCTCTCTGTTTCTCCTGCCGGGGCGCCTCAGGCCAACAGGCACCTTCTTGGTGGCCCCCCGACAGGGTCTGAGTCAGAGAGGAAACTCAGCCCCCACACCACCCTCAGGGTACCCAGCAGGGCATGTGGAATTCCAGAACGTTCATTTATGGCTCACTGGCCTAAACTTCAAACACACATATCCTAAAATAATATCATTATATATCCACAGCCCATAATTGCAAGTCAGTTATTAATAGGAGTACATTTTGTGGGCTAGAGATTTTTTTTTCCTCCCCAAATTGCTTTTGGTTGCTTCTGTTTTACCCAATGTCATTTTGTCTCTTCTGATTTTATAAGAGCGAGATATGGTAGAAATTTTGAAAAAGCATGAAGTGGGAAAAAATCTCAAACTCTCCATCCCTAGACAGGAGCTATTCTTAAGGGAAAAGGTGGAAGTTTGGCCTAGGAGTAGATTTTGGCTGGGAACGCCCCTGTCTTGCCTATGCAGAAGGGAGTGAAGAGACCGGTAGAGTGTCTGGAAAGAGGAGGAGATGTAGAGAAAAGTTTGCTGGGTGAGGAACAAAGGGCCTTTTCCTTTATCTCCCCAACAACAACAACAACAACAACAAAAAGTACTACGATTTTCAAGCTGAGTTTCTACTGGGATGGAAGAGGGTAAGACTAAAGAATACTAAAATTAGCTGCAAGGCAAGAACAGGTTTCTTCACATTACACAATACAATAAAATGTAATCAAGAAATCCATCTTCTAAAGCAAGATATGGAAGGTGTTCACAGCAACCTCAAACTCTTAGGCTCAAGGAGTCCTCCTGCCTCACCCTCCCAAGGACTACAGGCACCTGCCAAGATGCCCGGCTAGTTTTTCTATTTTTAGTACAGATGGGGGTCTTACCTTGCTAAGACTGGTCTCTAACTCCTGAATACCTGAGCTCAAGGGATCCTCCTGCCTTGGCCTCCAGAGTGCTAGGATTATAGGCGAGAGCCATCACACCCACCCTTTTAAATAATTTCTTTAAAAGGCTAGATGGTAGCCACATGCGATATCTGTTGTCCCTGTCGCACATTCTGAAACAGCCATAAGAAAAAAAAATCAGAAATTGAGGTGGCTCTGAGAGAGGACGGTCTACTTTATTTTACAGTCTAATATAAATTGTAATCCTTATAACATTACAATTACTTGCTCTTTTACCTGCTGCGGTGAGAATGGTTATTTTAGGCATTTTCCTCTGGTCCTCAGTGAGTGCTCGAGTAACATGAATAACACACAGTAATGCCAGTGGGGAGGTTCGTGTGTACCCTGAAAGGAAGCAGAGCTTCCCCGCAGTGCAGAGGAAGGGCCACGTGCACTGAGTGCATGTGTGCCCCGAGTCCAACATTCCCGCCACCTTACTAATGCCCGGTCGCATCTTTACTCTCATTCAGGTCAAGGAAGCTGATCCGCTGAGTAACGGCTCCGTCATGATTTTTCACGCCTCTGCCTCACCACATCTATATCAAATCGAGCAGCTGCAAGCCTTGGCTAATTACAGCGTTGCTGTTTCCTGCATGAATGAAATAGGCTGGTCTGAAGTGAGCCCTTGGATTCTGGCCAGCACCACCGAAGGAGGTAATTCCTGGGGTTCAGAACAAATATTGCCGTAATGGTATGTGATTATAAACCCTTTTCAGTGGCCCGATTCAGAGTTTAAACTTTGCTTTGTTGAAACTTTCCCTGTAGAAAAATTTTATTGAGGTGGCAAATGAAAATGGGGAAGATTTTTCCTTCTATACTTTAAAAGGGTTTAGTGACAAAAACTTATACTTGTTTTATAGAGATGATACTTTTTTTTTGAGACCAAGTCTCACTATGTTGCCCTCAGTAGAGTACTGTGGCATCACAGCTCACAGCAACCTCAAACTCTTGGGTTTAAAGCAATTCTCTTGCCTCAGCCTCCCAAGTAGCTGGGACTACAGGCGCCCGCCACAACACCCAGCTATTTTTGTTGTTGTTGTTTTCATTGTTGTTGTTTTAGCTGGCCCATGCCAGGTTCAAACTGCCAGCCTTGGTATATATGACCAGTGCCCTATGTACTGAGCTACAGATGCCACTGATAATACTTTCTTTTACATGGGAAGGTAGCACACTTTTTAGAACATGTGGGTAGGGCTAGGCACATTGGCTCGAGTCTGTAATCTTAGCACTCTGGGATGGGAGGCTGATGCAGGTGGATTGCCTGAGCTCAGGAATTCCCAACCAGCCTGAGCAAGAGCAAGATCAAGACCCCATCTACATTAAAAATAGAAAAATTAGCTGATGTCATAGCGATTACTTGTATTCCCAGCTACTCAGGAGACTGAGACAAGAGGATCGCTTGACCCCAGGAGTTGAGGTTGCTGTGAGCTATGACACCGTAGCATTCTATGCAATCTACCTTGGATGACAAAGTGAGACTTCGTCTCAAAAAAAAAAAGAAAATCACATGTGAGTGTTTTGTTTTGTTTTGACATGGGGTCTTGCCCTGTTGCCCAAGCTAGAGTACAAATGGTGTCATCATAGCTCATTGTAACCTCATACTCCTGGGTTCAAATAACCCTCCCACCTCAGAGTCCTAGGATTACAGATGTGGGCCAGTGGGCTAGGCAACATGTGGTTTGGGGGTTTTTTTGTTTTATTTTTAAAGATAGAATCTCCCTCTATTGCCCTGGGCTAGAGGGTGGTAGTGTCAGCCTAGCTCATAGTAATCTGAAACTCCTAAGTTCAAGTGATCCTCCTCCCTCAGCCTCCTGAGTAGCTGGGACTACAGGCATCTGCCATAATATCTGGCTAATTTTTCAATTTTTAGTAGAAATTAGGGCTGGTCTCGCTTTGCTCAAGCTGCTACTATCTAACTTCTGAGCTCAAGCAATCTTCCTGCCTCAGCCTCCCAGAGTGCTAGGATTATAGGTTTCAGCCACTGTACACAACCAACATGTGTTATGTTTAATTAAAATATAATTATACACAAAAGTTATTTTTTATCGCATCAAACTCAAGAGAAGTCATGATATGAGGATGGCTAAGTTCACCAACTACCCCTATATGCCGAGGAACTTAGGTGCCTTCTATGCCTTATTTCAGTAGATCCTCACAGCAGCTTTGTGCAGTAAATGATATTGACTGTCTATTTTCTTGGCCAAAGAAAATTATGTTTACATCTTTAAACTTTAAAGACTTTCTATGTGTTGCTTTTAATTTTGGAGATGTTTCCTTTGAGTTTTGGAATGACTATGTGGCTCCGTAAACTTTGAATTACGCAGTTATTCTTATTCCCTGACTTAGAACTCTCATGTCCCCGGACTCTCTCTCTTCCCCTCTTTCTGTCCTCAAAATCAGCACTCAATCTTCATGCAGATGGTGGGACAGGTCTGGATCAGAAATTTTGAGGGCTTGATTCTTGTGCAAATCCTAGGGTCAAAATTGGAAAATATATTCTTTTTTCAAATGAAAATATAAAGCCGTTGCAAACAAATTTGATATACTGTATTTCCAATTTTGATATACTTTATTTTCATCCAATTCAAAATATTTTCTAGAGAGTGTATGTTATGATTTCTGCTTTGACTGAATGGCTGTCTAGCCATGTAATCTAGTTTCCAAAGATCTTTGTAGTATTAATTTCTAATTAAATTGACTGAGACCAAGGAACATTATATGACTTGACTCCTTTTAAATTTATTGAGGTTCATTTTATGCACTAGAATATGATGATCTTAGTAAATCACCTGTGTGTACTTGAAGAGAATGAGTAGCCTTATTTTTTTTTAAGCAAAAACTATTTATTTACTTATTTATTTTTGAGACAGACTCTTGCTTTGTCACCCTCAGTAGAGTGCCATGGTGTCACAGCTCACAGCAACCTCCAACTCTTGGGCTCAAGCAATTCTCTTGCTTCAGCTTCCCAAGTAGCTGGGACTACAGGTGCCGCCACAACACCTGACAATTTTTTTTTTTTTTTTTTGTGGTTGTAGTTGTCAGTGTTGTTTGGCAGGCCTGAAAAACTCTTTATTTTTAAGAAAAGGTACAGTTTTCCATTTTCTAGTCTTGGCATGAATTTTAATTCTTTCCAGGGGAACCAAAACCTCTTGAACCCCTTTCAGAGTCATCCAAAATTTGAACTTCTTTTATTTCTGGATGAAAATCTGTTCACAAATGAACTGTGCAATCCGATCACCTTTCTTCAAACTATTCTCTGTCAAAATTAAATAGTATAGCACCAGCATTTCCTCTATAATCTTCATCTATGACACCAGCTCCTACGTCTGTAAAGTGTTTTTCAGCCAAGCCAGAACATGGAGCTACTTTTCCCTAACACCCAGAAGGGAGAGCTGTCTGAATGTCTGTCTTCACAATAGCTTCTCCATAGGTGGTCTTGTATAATCATAGGCACTGTACAGGTCCTGCCTGCAGCCCGTGTGGACCCCCAGGACGGGGCATGGCATGTTCTGAGAGCCAGGCAAAACTGAACTGCATGTTGCCCTTCTCCTGGGGCCGGGCCCACTTGCTGGGGGAAACAATGAGCGCCTCTTCCCAGCAGGGTTTTGCACAGCCAGGCAGGTGCACAGAAAGGGGAAAGAGAGAGAGCACAAGATGAGAGCGGAGGCAGCCACCACACCAAGATCCAAATTTTGAGAATTAGCATCCTGCTCTTGTTGAGTGTTCTATCAATGCCAACCAGCTAGGTCACGTTGGCTGAAAGTATTTTTCAAATCTGTATTCTTACTGATTTTCTGTTCTATGATTGAGAAAAGGGTATTGAAATCTACGGGTATAATTGTGGATTTATCTATTTCTACTTGCTTCTACCAGTTTTCGTTTCAAATGTTCTGAAGCTCTGTTGTTTCAGTTTTTTTGTTATTTTGTTGTTTATTTATTTATTTTTTGAGACAGTCTTGCTCTGTGGCCCTGACATCATCATAGCTCCCAGCAATCTCAAACTCTTGGGCTTGAGCAATCCTCTTGTCTCAGCCTCCCAAGTAGCTGGGAATATAGGCATGCACCACAATACCTGGCTGGTTTTTCTGTTTTCACCACAATACCCACTAGTTTTTATGTTTTCAGTAGAGATACAGTCTCACTCTTGCTCAGGCTGGTCTCCTGAGCTCAAGCTATCTATCCACCTTAGCCTCCCAGAGTGCTAGGTTTATAGCCATGAGCCACCATGCCCAGCTGAAGCTCTGTTATTTTGTATAGAAATGTTTACTATTACTATGCTTTCCTAATAAATTGACAACTTTATTATGAAATTACTTTCTTTATCTGTGGTAAAGAAATATTCTGCTCTTGTTTTTCACCCCACCCCCACCCTCAGAAATTAGGCAAGACAATTGTTAGTAAGATCCCTTCAATTGCTTCTTGAATTTTCTTTTCTCAAATTGGCCTCTTTTCTTTTGCTTTTTATTCTACTTTCTTGGGGATTTAATGATTTGTATTCTAATTCTTCTGTTAAATAATTTATTTTGCTTATCATGTTGCTAATTTCAAGTCTTTTCATTGACCTTCTTTTCTGGTTCTCATTCATCAGAACTGTTTCTTATCTTTGCATATATTATTTCTGGTTTGTTTGTTTTTTAGTTCTTTCTAGTACAGACTCTTCCTTTCTCCCCCTCAGTAGAGTGCCATGGTGTCACAGCTAGAACTGTTTCTTATCTTTGCATATATTATTTCTGGTTTGTTTGTTTTTTAGTTCTTTCTAGTTTCCTGCACTGGCTTTGTCTCCTGAGCCCTCTGTCCTGTGTGGGATTTTTTTTTTTGGTCTCTCACATTTCTGTAGGAGGCTTCTCCAGACCTTTGATGGTCTTAAGTGAAGACCCAGCACTTTGGTTGGAAATCTGAGTGTGAGCAGAGCTCATAGGCTTCACAGTGAGGTGATTGAGCAGCAACCTGAGTGTTCTGGTTCAGATACCCCCAGGTGTCACAATGGCTTTCTTTCCTCTGTGGCTTCTCACTTCCCTTAGAAAAGGAGTCTGTCATCCCCTCCCCTAGGACTTTAAACATGACTGCTGTTGTTCTCAGAGCCCGGGTCAGGGAGAAAGGGTGAGGTAAGTCCTCCTTAGTTAGTGCGCAGACTTAATTTCCCTGGTTTTCAGTGTGGCCCCTCACCATGCCTCCACACTGCTGGTACCCTAATACCTAAACCCTGCTGGCTTTTCAATTCCAAGAATAAATCATCTTGTTTCCTATGGATCCTGAGGGAGTTCTTGCCAGGTGGGTGGGGGTGGGGTAGAAAGACCTTGAGGAGCAACTACTTTTTTTTGTTTGTTTTTTGAGACAGGGTCTTCCTCGACTATTCAGGCTGGAGGGCAGTGGAATGCTCATGGCACACTGCAACCTCAAACCCCCAAACTTGAGCAATCCTCCTGCCCCAGCCTTCCAAGTAGCTGGTACTGCAGGTGCATGCCAACCATGCTTGGCTAATATTTCTATGTTTTACAGATACAGGGTGTCATTCTTGCTCAGGCTGTTCTTGATTGCCCTCAAGCAATCCTCCTGCCTTGGCCTCCCTAAGGCAACTACTTCTTAATTAAATTTCCCATCTGTCCTCCTAGTTTTAGTTTCCATTTCAGTCCTGGGTTCGTAGTTCTGAGCTTTTTGTGTGGTTCGTGGAGGAATATTGGGTTGCTAAATTAATTATACCTTCTTCATCTCTTTTTCAGCTTTCAAATGTGTTGAAATTTCCCCACTGTTGACTCCTCTTTACTTTGTGAGTTTATATCGCTTTAAATTCCACACTGTCTTCATAGAAGGGTTTGGGAAGGAGGCAGACATAAAGACACGTCAAGCTGGCTGTGTTTATCCCTAAATCCTACAACGGATTTGAATGACTGATTTCATAGACACTTATAGAAGTGAATTTCCTACGTGAAATTCATTTTAACTTCATGATTATTGCTCCTGAAATCAGCAGACACATCAAACAATATGTAATTGTATATACTACTACTACAGGCAAATTTGATATATATTTTTTTCCTTCTACATACAGGGTGGACATGAAGTTCATGTGCAATTTAAAATAGTTTCACATAGTAAATTGCCCACAAATTTTATGTCCACCCTATATAAAAAAATTTTGCTTTTCTAAAATGGATCGATTTATATTTTTTTGCAATTTGATTTTTTTCTTCCTTTCGATATCTCTTCATACCAGTACACACACTATACCTAATTCTTTTTAATAGCCAGGTAGCAAATATTCCATTGGAAATGTATCAAAATTTATATCATAATTACATTATTCCCTTTTGTCACTATTAGGCTGTATGAATATAACACCACCTACAGATTAAATTCCTGGAAATAAAATGCTTTGGTCAAAGAGCATATTATTTTCAGGTTTAAAAAATGTAGTCAAGTTCTTCTGTCCCAAAAAAGACTGTAGTAATGATCTTTTCTTTAAGACAGAGTCTCATTTTGTCACCCTACGTAGAGTGCTGTGGCATCATAACTCACAGTAACTTCGAACTCGGGCTCAAGAGATCCTCTTGCCTCAGCTTTCTAAGTAGCTGGGACTATAGGCACCTACCACAACTCCTGGCTATTTTTAGAGATGGGTGTCGGGGTCCCTTCATAGATGCCACTTATCAGGGCCCAAGACTGGTTGGTCTCCATCCTCAGCCTATCTAGCTGTGTTCTGGACGTGGACTGCTAAGCTACCTTGCTCAAGAACAATTGCTCTTAGGTGCCTGAGGGCTATTTACATTAGCAGGAAGGGGGAGAAAGAGAGATAGTCTTTGAGAGAGAAAAGCAGTCTTCTTAGAAAGATAGATCTTAGTCTTTAGCAGAGCCTAGTGATCCAGGCTGGCGTTCTGCAGGCAGGAGAGGAGACAGAGTCAGAGTAAGTGGTCCATAATAGAATGAGCTCACTCCCGACTGCCTTCTCCTCCAGTCTAATATAAGGCTGATCTCCTGCCTCTTGACACCACAGGTGTAGAGATTGCCAATTCACCAATGCTCTCGTCTCAGGAGCTCTCTCTTGCTCCTTATGAGCTAAATCCCTCCCCATGCCCTTTACACCAAGGTGTTCCATTGTTGAGCTACAGGTGTTACTTATAACTGTCACTCCTCCTAGCCATAGGCTATACGGGCGGCTACAGATGGGGTCTTACTTTTGTTCACTCTGTTCTTGAACCCCTCAGCTCAGGTCAATCCACCCACCTTGGCCTCCTAGAGCCTGGCCTGTAGTAATGATCTTGACTTGTTTCCAAAATTGTTTATACGTATCCACATACACACATATAGATATACAACTTTTATTTATTTATTTATTTTTGAGACAGAATCTCACTATATCACCTCAGTAGAGTGCCATGGTGTCACAGCTGACAGCAACCTCAAACTCTTGGGCTTAAGTGATTCTCTTGCCTCAGCCTCCCAAGTAGCTAGGACTATAGGTGCCCACCACAACGCCCAGCTGTTTTATGTTGCAGTTGCTTTCTGTTTGAGCTCAGCAGTGTTCCCTGTCTTGTGCATCTCAAATGCCCCAGCGCTGATCTCCAGCCAGGCACACTGCCTTTCTACCCAACAGGTTCTGTTGGAGGACCTTGAGTTGTATCTTCTTTGCTTCCACAAGGGTCTGTGAGCACCACCCACCTGTTTCCCTGCTTTCCTCTCCTTTGTTACTTACAATGGATGCTCATGACATTTTCAACTCAAAAATGAATCTCTAGGCTTCAGTAGCCTAAAAGGGCTTCTTTCTTTCTTTCTTTTTTTTTTTTGAGACAGTTTTACTTTGTCACCCTTGATAGAAAGTCGTGGAGTCACCGCTCACAGCAACCGTAAACTCTTGCGCTCAAGAGATCCTCTTGCCTCAGCCTCCTAAGTATCTGGGACTACAGGCATCCACTACAATACCTGGTTATTTTTTAGATTTGGGGGCTTTCACACTTACTCAGGCTGGTCTCGAACTCGTGAGCTCATGCACTCCACCCACCTTAGCCTCCCAGAGTGCTGGGATTACAGGCATGACCCACTGCACCTGGCCTGAAAGGGCTTAAGGGCTTACTTTTTAAGACTCATGTCATATCTCAATGGTCTTTAATTGAAAAGAGGGTGAACACCTGCTATTAATCTCTGTCTCATTTGAGTACTTTCCTTGGAAACATTTAAAAACTAAAACCAAGATAAGCATGAATCTGTATGTGCTTGAACGTGCCACCTCCCGCATATGGGGCTGGCACCCTACTCCTTTGAGCCACAAGCACTGCCCTGTATGTGTTTTCCTTTGTGGTTCTTCATCCTTCTCTCCTTTTTCTTTTATAGCCCCATCCGTAGCACCTTTAAACATCACCGTGTTTCTGAATGAATCTAGTAATCACGTGGACGTCCGATGGACGCGGCCTCCAATGAAGCGGCAGGATGGGGAGCTGGTGGGCTACCGGATATCTCACATCTGGCAGAGCATGGGGACTACCGTAAGTCTGAACCCTAAAAGGGCGCTATTAATCCTCTCCTTTTGACTTGCTGGTATAATTCTGTTTTGGAAGCTTTCATTTTGTTGTGAAAAGACCTTGTGTGATTGAGTTAGGCAAGGCAACTTTCAATGGGATATAAACAATATAGTAAAAATTAGAGGTAAAGGGGCAGCGCCTGTGGCTCAAAGGAGTAGGGCACTGACCCCATATGCCAAAGGTGGTGGGTTCAAGCCCAGCCCCGGCCAAAAAAAAAAAAATTAGAGGTAAAAATCCCGAGGAGTCTTTTGAGGTGTTCCTCATTCATCCATCCATTCATTACTAATTTAGTAAGTAGATATAGAACTCATCCTCTGTTGTCACTTCATTTATGCCTTCAGGGAATTCAGGCTCTTGTAGGAAGACAGTGGAAACTACCCAGATACTCACAGTATGAGGTCAGGGAGTAGCAGTTGGCAATTCATAGTCTTAGAAATTTCAGTGGATTCTTTTCAGAAAATTATCAGGGAGGAACCCCAACCTCATACAGAATAACAAGAGGTAAACAGGTGCCAAAGAAAAGGACTAAACAAGTGAGCCAACTGGCCTGGCACAGCTGCATAAGAACTGAAATTAGAGATGAGACTCAGTGGGCCAGCGCAAGGCAATTTGTCACTCATGGCATATCACACCATGGAACATCAGCCTGGTGACACAGGTTTCCTGCCCGTGAGTCCTGTGGGGGCAAGGTGGTGGGTTGTCTCAGCACCTTGTGTAGCAAGCAGCAAACAAGCCCATCCTCTGTGCAGCTTCCCAGTGGTCATGCTATGGCCACTTTGACTTATGTGACCGGCCCCAGAGTGTCTCAGGGTCTTAGATGGTTTTCAGCCTTCCAATCTGGCACATTCAGAAAGGATACGCAAAGATGTTATGCCTTTTCCAGCAGAAGTAGTACTTGATCTGTATGTACATATTAGTCAGGATTCTCCAGAGAAACAGCTAATTAATACACACAGTCAAAAAGAGATTGAGTATGAGGAATTGCCTCATGCTATTCCGGGAGGCTGAGAAGGCCCACAGTAGGCAAGCTGGAGACCCAGGGAGCCAATGGTCTAAATCAGCCCACATCTGAAGGCCTGAGAACCAGCGGGCTGGGCTGTAGCTCTCAGTCCAAGGGTAGGAGAAGACCTGCTTCTCAGCTTAAGTATTCAGGCAGAAGAAAGGGAGAGAATTCCTCCTTTTTCCACCTTTTATTCTATTTAAGCCCCCAGTGGATTGGATGAGACCCACCAACACTGGGGAGGGCAATCTGCTTTAGTGAGTTCACCAGTTCAAATGCTAATCTCATCCAAAACAACCTCACTGACACATCCAGAAATAATGGTTAGCCACATAGCTGGGCACCCCTGTGACCCAGTCAGACTGACACACAAAATTAAACACAGGTTGCAATGATTTTGACAGGTGAAGACTGAGGAGTTTTAAGTGGGAGAAGATAACATGAGAGAAGGCACAATGTAACAAATTAAAACAAATCCTGTCTCACTGAAAGGCCTAGAACGTGAATCCTTTATGAGAGCCAGGTATGAAATGAAGCTGGATTGGGGAGTTGTGATCCTGAAATGCAGGGCCCTGATAGTTAGGCCTGTTTTTTGTTTGTTTGTTTGTTTATAGGTAGCAAGGAGGCCAATAAAATGCTTGAGGTCAGAAGTACAACCGAGACTTCTGTATTACGAAGATGGCTTATATTCTTCTTTATGAATAATAAAATGAGTTTATTCATATAAGCAACCTTCACCTCCACCTTCTTTCCACCAGAACATACTGCTGGCCTACTCTGGTCTACCAAGTCTGGCCAGGGCTAGGAAGGTTTTCTTGCTCACTGAGAATATCATCATAATTGTCAACGAGGATTATTTTGAAAACCAATATGTGCTTTGGCCTGGGCAGAGCTCTGGTTGGGGTGCATCAGTATGTCTGCTAGTTCCTGCCTTATAATCTAAAGATGGCAAAAATCCTCCTTCGTTCAGTATGGACTCACTAGTATGAGTACTTGTTTTGTTTCATAATAGCAAACAAGCTCTTTTTTTGCCCCAAGCCCTGCTTACTCTGGCTGTACTGCTTGGGCTCCAAACTCCTGGTCTCAGTCATGATTATTTACCAGGACCTCATCAGCCATTAAGAGATGTTCTCTGACATTTACAAGATCCAGGAGATGATGCATGAGCTGGAGGGGAAGGGAAGATGGTCAGTAGGATAGAGGCTAACATTAATGACCTGCTCATTGGTCAGCAATGGAAATGCCTCCACTGAAGGCCCTAAAGGGCAAACGTATTGAAAGCATAGCAATCCCGGGTGTTGATACTGTCATGAACTGTCACTCGCAGGAAATCAGCTTCACAGCAGAAGCCTACAAGAAGTACATGAAAGATTACATGAGGTTATTCAAAGGCAAACTTGAACAGTGACCAGAAAGAGTAAAACCTTTTATGACAGGGACCACAGCACAAACACATCCTTGCTAATTTCAAAAACTACTAGCTCAGTATTATTGAAAACATGAATCTGGATGGTATGGTTGCTCTACTGGACCACTGTGAGGATGGTGTGACCCTATGTGTGATTTTTTTTTTTTGAGATGGAGTCTGACTCTGTCACCCTGCATAGAGTATGGTGGCATTGTAGCTCACAGTAACCTCAAACTCTTGGGCTCAAGTGATCCTCTTGCCTCAGCCTCCTGATTATCTGGGACTAAAAGCCCCCACCACAACACCTGGCTAGTTTTTCTGTTTTTAGTAGAGATGAGGTCTCACTTATGCTTAGGCTGGTCTCCAACTCCTGAGCTAACGTACTCCACCCACCTGGGCCTCCCAGAGTGTTAGGATTACAGGTGTGAGCTTCTGAGTCCAGCCTGTGATTTTTTTTATTTTTTATTTTTTAAGGAATGGTTCAGAAATGGGAAAATGTTAAGAAATTTGGCAATAACTTTGGGTCTATCATCTGTCATCATAACTGGCTGCTGCTTGTAATCCACACAACACTTAAAACAAAGGGGACTGATGTCTTCTGGAGCTCTTCATTTATTTTGTCCGTGATTTATTTGGTGTAGGAGCATTGTTTTTAAGAAAAGAAAATGTCATGTCAACTTTTAGACAAAGTTGTCTAAAAATAATATTCATTAAAAAAGACACTTTATAGCAAACAACAGACAAAAAGGATCTATGTGAGAAATTGTGACTGCCTCTCTAAGAACCAGCCAGGGCCATGCAGTGACTTTGCTGGTTAGACCCAGGGGGGTGTGTGATTTTTGATTTCTGTGAAGTCTATCACTACTATGGTATGAACACTGGATCCACAATGGAAGTAAGGGGGGCAGATGAGTGATGGTGCCTGAGTGCAGTTGGGTGGGCGGCTTCCAGACGGGTCCCCTTTCCACCAGGGAAAGGAAAAGAGTGAGGTAATACCGACTCCTTTTGTGACATAGAACATCCATGGAAGGGCAGATGCCCTGGCTTCATTATAGACTGTTTCTTCTTTACCATGATCATGGAAATTATGCTGCCTTTTTGTTGTCATGTACCTAATGGATCTAACCCTAGGGATAGATCCAAATTTTAGCATCTTCATGGCATTTTTATGGAGCATGACATGACAGTTATACAGCTCCTTGGCTGAAAGATAAACAGGGCAAGTGGGTAGACAGCTGCACCCACTGACGATGGCCAAGCTTTGCTTTGATCATATTTAACCTCACATTAACCGGCATTTATCAAAACTGCTATTTTCCAAAAGGACAGTTGGGATTTGTTTTCCTTTTCCTGCCTTTACTTACCTATCAGAAAGCAGACTGTTTGCAACAGTAGGGGATGGAAGTAGCAGAAAAACAAGAGGGCTTGGAAGCCCTTGTTTTTCTGCCTTAGGTAACTGATAATGGAGTTACTCTTAACAGTAATAATCCTATTTAAAAGTCACTGATGAAAGAGAAATTTCTCCTTTCCTGGTCTTTTGTCCCAAGGCGTTTTGTGCGAGGTGCCCCTGGATTCACTGCATTTCCCCATTGCCCGAGTCAGGGGAACCAATGCCTCTCTTAGAGAAAGGGTCTTTTTTCACAATGCCAAATGCTGTCTATACTAAGCATAGAGGTTCGGTAATGGTGTTTCAGTTCAGTAGAAATTTTACCTTTCTCTGGTTGTCAGAAAATAATTATTATGAGCAGACACCAATTTGTTTAAACAACTTCAGGTCATCCTCTGTCACTCTCCTTCTGGCATGGGTGAACCTTCTTTTCTAGAAAGGACTTCTTGAGCTGAGGCACACTGAAGGGCAACAATGATGAAAATCTTATGAGTGACTGTGGCCAGAAAGCCTTGTACACTAAGTGCCACTAATGCTCAGCTGCACTGTGCATTCTCATCACCCTTTGTTCAGAATGGTCCCTTCTGCAGGGAGAACAGTACTGCCATAGTTAGGGCTGTGACCTTTCCAGTCATTCCTTGGAAATGCTGGATCATCCTTAGGAGAAGGTCATTTGCATTGTGCTTATGCTATGCTTCCTACATCATGACAGTCTCGTGACAACAAAGACTTGGTGCCTCCTTTGAGTTTGGGAAACATTCTCTGATGCAGCTAAGTTTCAAGCTCATGCTGCACAGTTGGAGGCAAAAAAGAACACTGAAGAAATGCCAACCCTGGGAGGAGCCTGAAACCCACACCCAGAGTGAAGTTTGAGAGGATCTCGGCATCCATCACTTCAATTTCCTTAAACTCCCTTCATCTTGGAAGGGCAAGGCTAAGGAAAACACAACTGCATCTCTCAAAATTGTCTACTCATTCCCATTTTTAGAAAACTGTTACTCAGGCTGCTCTTTCTTTATGCAAATCAGTGGAGCTGGCTATTTTTGAAAGACATTTTTCACTTATAACTATAATAAGGGTGCATAATTTCAGAACATTTTTGGAAGTGGTCTTTGGGTGGGTTATTGCAGTTACACTGAAGGCAGGCTTGTACCTTTGCAATCTTATAATTTTTGTGTCACTTTCACATTAAGAACTTCCTGATATTTGCTGTATTTATATTTATTATATCTTAAGATATCTAGTTTTTTTGTTCTACTTTTCTTGATATCCCTTGCCTTACAAATCAGAACTTAATATCCAGAGATACAGATCAAGTGCGATCTGTTCCCCTTGACCTTGAAGCTGTGTCTTGCTCATCTTTGTACTGTCTGAACACAGGGCCTTGAATATGCTTCATGGACATTCTTAGCACTGTGGAATCAGTGTGTAGACCCAGCTACACCATCTAAACCAGCAGGAGAATTTCCCTCTGTGAATGGGACAGTCTTTTGATAAGCATGGACTAGGATTTTCCACTCCATCCCTATTCCCATAAGGTTTCAGTGGGGCATCTATGAAAAAATAGTCCAGTGAGCATATAAATATATAAAATATTGCATGTTGTACTCCCTTCCTGAAGACACACAGTGTATACTGGCAAGTTTAAAGTACTTTGATGTTCTACAATAAATAAATCTATTTAGCTTTGGCTCAGAATTGCTCAAACCATGAGATGCATTTTTAGGTGTGTGGTTTTTATGAAGTTCATTTTGGGGGGATTATGGCTCTAATGCTGGTTTAATCTGTGTTTGGAAACGATAGATATCTTGGAAGGAAATCTCATAGCAGAGATTATTACAGCCTTGAGACAACATGATATATAGCACCAACTTTTTTAAAGACCCAGGGAAGCTGCAGTACACTTAAGGCACTTAAGGATTCCTTGACTCCAGACCTCAGCCTTCTAAGGAGCTCTCCTGATGAGCAGAGATGTATGTCTGGTAGTTGGCATGTGCCCACTGCCTCTTTGTTTCCTCCTTTTTCCCTCTTACTCACTGTCAAAGGATGGCAAAGCATCTGAGCTGAGCTGGTGTTATTTGAAGGTATGAGGAACAGGCAAAATTCCCATGAGACAGGACAGCCAAAGGTCTGAACCACGTCTGAAATCCAGGGATAGATTAAAGATGGTACCTGGAAGATAAATCTATAATGCCAGTAAACTCCATGAATCGGTCAAATAAACTTCTTGGTTTAGGGAAGACAACTTTGATGATGATTTTCTTTCATGTGCCAAGACTTGAAAGATACCACAAGGTCAAATCTGTATGAAGGTCACATACTTCACATAGGTTAACTCTTTGCATTTGCTCACTCACTTAAGGAATAGGAGGTGGAAGTGAAAAACTAACCTCTCTGAGTTTTTGTAATGAGTTATAGGCCCTAAGTGGTAAGTACAAGTTGAATATCAGTTGTCTGAAATGCTATAGACCAGAAGTGTTTCAAATTTCAGAATGTTTCAGATTTTGGAATATTTGCATTATATGTAGTATTTACTGAGGGAACATCCCAAATTCAAATATTTTAAATCTGAAATGCTCCAATGAGCATTTCCTTTAACCATCATGTTGGTGCTCAAAAACTTTCAGATTTTCTTTCTTTCTTTTTCTATAGGCAGAATCTCACTCTATTGCTCCAGGCTAAAGTGCTGTGGTGTCAGTCTAGCTCATAGCAATCTCAAACTCTTGTGCCCAAGTAATCCTCCTGCCTCAGCCTCTTGAGCAGCTGGGATTATAGGTGCCTGCCCAATGACACCCAACTAATTTTCTTATTTCTAGTAGAGATGGGGTCTCAAGCTTACTCAGGCTGGTCTCAAACTCCTGATCTTGAGCAATCCTCCTGCCTTAGCCTCTGAGAGTGCTAGGATTACAGGCATGAGCTACTGTGCCAATCCCACATTTCAGATTTTATATTTTTGAATTTGGGATACGTGAATAGGTTTCTGTTTATTTCCAAAAGTATGATTTTGTTTTTGTTAGGACAGCTGCTCTTCTAGATATTTTATTCTTTCCCAGTCATGGATTTTGAGATAATTTCTCTAATAAATGATATGATTGCATATGAATTATTCTAGAAAAGAAAGCATGCAGCCAGAAGCAGCCCCAGTGTTCCTTCTCAGGTATGAGTCTTACACTTTGAGGCACTATTAGGCATTAAGCTGGGATGCAGATGTGTGGATTCTTTCTCAGCTGCGGGCCCGAGTCACTGCATGACTAGGCGTTTGGACTGTAGAGTTATCCTACCTGATGCTTTTTTGCCCCCTTCCCAAATTAAGTACAGAATTACCAACAAACCCATGCTCAAAACTGGTTGCTATAAATATAATGCTCTAAAAAAGGTGTCAGAATATGTTTAAAAAATCATTAATTATTAATTTGTTTACTTCACACACAAAAAAATCTCTGTCAAATTTCATAAGATCAGGCTCCTGTGGGTAGAAATATCATTTAGGATTGTATTTTTCTGTTTCATTCCTTGTCTGGGGGTATGACATGTATACCTTATGTATACAGAGGGTGCCAAAAAATGTATATACATTCTAAGAGATGTTATCTATGTACATGTGTTACTTTTTGAAGTTGAATCGAAGGTACTGGTACTGGTCAAGTGTACCTAGACATGCTACATATATCCATTTTACTGAAAAATTCATACACTTTTGGGGATGATCTATTTTACTTCCAACAGGAGCACTAAAAATGTGTATACATTTTTTGGCACCCCTCCCCCCAGTATATTGGTTTTCATCTGTAATTCCTGACTTATAATTCCCATAGTCCTTGTTGTTTCCTACGTGGCTAAATCAATAAGCATATCTTTTGCCTGCAGCATTTTGCCTTTTGTCCTTGGTATCTGAAGCAACGCTTGGTATTTAGAGCTTTAAAAGTGAAAGACAGTCTTTTGTTATAATGTTGGGTACCTTGGGCCTCAGAAAAGATAATCTCTCTCTGATCTTCTCCTGCCTCCTTTCCTTTGCTCCTTTCCTTCCCCAAGGCCGGACTCTAATCTTTCCTGGCTTTATGTCTTGGGGCTGCCATAAAGAAATTCTCATTCTACCTTGTCTGATTGAAAGTCATACGACCTCCATTTCAGAAGAGGGCCCGTGCCATACCTGGGAGGAAGGAACACTGTACAGAGAGGCTAAGAAGAATCTGAAAAGACGGGCTTGCAGGGTTTCCCCCATTGAAGTCTCCCTGAAAGACCTCAGAAGAATGGTTTCCAAGAGCTTCCAGATAGCTGGGCACCTGGAGGTTCCTGGTGCATGCGGGGCGTGGGCTCTGCACCCTTCCTACAGGCCTTTCTCCGTGCATCTTTTCAGATCCTCTGTAATCCTTTATAATCAGCCAGGCAATGTGCGTTTTCCTGAGTTCTGGGAGCTACTCTAGCAAATTAAATGAACCCAAGGAGGAGTCATGGGAACCCCAATTTATAGCCAGCATTTCTGTTCCTGGTTGTCACTGCCTGTTTAGATATAGAAGCAGTCTCTGGATGGCCGACTGGGTGCTCTCTTGGTCATGAATATGGGACTGCCATCTCCTTAGGTGCTGAGTTGGGCCCCTCCTGCACCATCACTAGAAGTATAGGTTTGAGACCAAGTGACTAAGGAATAAAGTTGCCAACAGAATCACACTTTTGCTGATCATTGATAATCGGGGGTATCTGTGCCCTCCTATTCTCTCTTTATCTCTCTGAAATCAAATTTCTGAGATTCAGAGATAAAGACATGTTTCTAGAGTTTCATTTCAGCTTATGCAACTCCTAAAATTTTCCTTTGAAAGGCCAGTCTAAAACACACAATGGGTTTCCTACACCAGAGAACATTGTGATCATCAAGGTTTGGGAAGTAAGGCAAAAGTGTCGTCTACACGCTTAGTTCTGGCTATTTCTCCCTATGTTTTAATGGCCTGCTCTTTCACGGCAGTAGTTTTAAACCATCCTAAATTAAAGTAAAACCAGAGTTTTGAAAAGTGAGCAAACTGTATATTTGTCACACTGAAAGTAAAAGATTGTATATCTGCCCTCCTCCTTGTAGATTTTAGTCAAAATTCTTATAATTTCGAGGAACAGGAGCCCACCTGTGTGGTTCAAGGGCAGCTGGCAGGTCAGACTCATGCCATGGTGGTTCTGAGCACAGGAGTTCCATGGAATTGGTCTTGCTCTTGCCATCTGGATGCATCTGCCACCTGTTCCCTCTCCTCTAGAAGCTTCTTGGTGACCACTCTTAGTGTCATGCCCTCATGACCCTACTTGCCCCCAAGGCCTGAGGTTGCTTTAGTCCCCACCTGCCTTTTGGTTCCACTGGCTGTAGCCCAAGTGAGGAAGGAATGCTGGGGGACATGGCCCCTCGACATGGGTGAGTAGGTGGGATGGCTTATCCTCAGAAGGAACTGCAGGTAAGCAGACTGTGACCCCTGGTGCTTCTGTGTTTCATTTCCTCTTTTCCTCTCTGTCCCCAGAAAGAACTATCAGAGGAAGTTGGCTACAGTGGCAGCTATGCTCAAATTTCCATTCCAGTCCGCAACGCCTCCTGCACAGTGAGGATGGCAGCCATCACCAAAGGGGGTGTTGGGCCCTTCAGTGACCCGGTGCAGATATTCATCCCCCAACACGGTGAGAGCTGGGGCCATCGTTGCCTGCTAGAATGTAGTAGTCCTGGCAGCACACAGCTTGCCAGAGGGTAACCTGTGGGACGGATGGCTGATTAAAGAATGAAAAATAAAGGCCGCGCCTGTACTCAGTGGGTAGGGTGCCCGCCAGTCACATATACCGTGGCTGGTGGGTTCAAACCTGGCCTGGGCCAGCTAAAACAACAATGACAACTGCAACGAAAAAATAACAGGGCATTGTGGTGGGCGCCTGTAGTCCCAGCACTTGGGAGGCTGAGGCAAGAGAATTGCTTAAACCCAAGATTTAGAGTTAGCTATGAGCTGTAACGCCATGGCACTCTACCCAGAGCAACAGCTTGAGACTCTGTCTCAAAAAAAAAAAAAAAAAAGAAAGAAAAATAAGGACCAGAAAGAATTGTTGCAATGATACAGATAGGATGGCACACTTCACAGAACTAGTGAGACCTCTGGGAACTCCTCCTATTGTTACTATCATTGGTAATAATGTACTGGGAAGATTAGTCCTTCAGATTATCAACTTTGACTTCGCTTACAGAAGTTAGTTAAAATGGCATGTGCTGTACATACCTGAATTTCAGACAAGCAGTATGGTTAATCCGTAGCTTTCTCTGCTTGGCTCTTTATTTATTTTGCTAGTGCTCGTTTTGCTAGGTTTGAAGCAGTACTGCTTGCCGGGTTTTTACCCATTCAAGCCTTGCCTAGTGTGCTCTGTGATTCAGTCTGCACCAAACATGAACTGTTTCCTATGGAAGCCATCTCTGACTGCCCTGTGCTGACTGAGCTAAATGCCCAACCATGTGTGCTGGCCTTTGCGTGTCACTGCAGTGTCCCTTGGCTCGGTGCCACTGTGGAGCCCCACGTGATTCAAATGCTGTGCTCGTTTCCAAGCCCAGTGGAGCCACCGTGTTCTGACTCTGACCTGCCCTAGGTTGTTTGATGTTAAACGGCATAAAATCCACACACTGTCGTCTACATGAGTGTGACTTGTACATTTACAGGTTCATGCCAAACCTGGCCTTTGTACCCAGTAGTAGACAGGACTTAGACACAGACAACTAAGTTCTCATCAGTCTGTTCCCAATGACCCTCAAGCGTGCTCTTCCTTTTAGTGCTGAAATGGAACTGTATTGCATTTCTGCTGTCCCCGGGCTCAGTACTTGGGGAGTGTTAGTCACTGGTGATGGGAAGACAGGATGTGTCTACCTGGTGGAAATTCAAAGACAGTGACATTCTGATTCTAAAGGAACAGTTAAAAAAAAATCAAGAGTTTAAGACTACAGAGCATTTATCTTCATTCATGTTAAACTCTAAAATTTGTAAAAGCTTTGCTACTCAGGCAACCCTTGCCTTGCACAGCTCCAACAGGCATAAATTTCAGTTGCCACAGTTACATAATGTCAGTTCCCCAACTGTATGGTTCAGATTTTAGTTACCATCTTATATCAACTGTAATTACATAAAGCATAACTTGGCTGCTAGCTGTTAAGGCCTCAAATCACCAGGTTGATAACAGATGGGCTTCATGATCGTGACCAGTGGTGTCATGTCTTTCGAAATCTTGGTAGTGATTGGTTACTGCAGAACTGTCTTTCAGTTCCTGTACATCTACTGGAGGCACGTGGCTGTGCTGCCTCCCTGTCTCCCAGTGATGAGCTGATGTGACATTTTACAAAATGGGTAATTGAAAGAGGGAATTGGAGAACAAAGATGAACGTGCAGCAGAGAAATGAAAAGTGATAGTGTTGAAACTGAAATTTGAATCGCACGTAAATAGACAGTGGAATGTTGATATGGCCACTGTTTGATAGGTTTTAGATATGCAGCCGAGGCACTTAGTGAAGGTAAAGTTATCCACATAAATGAAGAGGTTGTGACAAAAAAGGATGGAGACGTCACAGAGAAAGTGACACGGGCAAAAAACTTAACACTAAAGGAATTCTCAGAGATATTTTAAAACATTGAAAGTACAGAAGATAAAACATCGGAAGTTTGTCCAAACTTGGGAAGGTGTATGGCAATTCTCTAAAACATGGGAAATATATTTTCTCTTTATCTTAAGTCACCATGACAGGTGTTTTACAAAGAAATAACACTTTAATTCTTCAGAGTCTTTTTTTTTTTTTTTTTTGAGACAGAGTCTCACTATGTCACCCTCGGTAGAGAGCTGTGGCATCACAGCTCACAGCAACCTCCACCTCCTGGGCTTCAGTGATTCTCTTGCCTCAGCCTCCTAAGTAGCTGGGACTACAGGCACCTGCCACAAGACCCGGCTATTTTTTGTTGTCACAGTTGTCATTGTTATTTAGCTGGCCTGGGCCGGGTTGGAACCCACTACCCTCAGTGTACATGGCTGGCGCCGTAACCACCCTGCTATGGGTGCCAAGCAGCACTTTAATTCTTAATGTTTTTAATGTTTTAAATTGTAGTGTACCAAGTGAATATTAGTTTTACTGTGTTTTTCATTTTCTGGTACATTTATAACCAAAACAGTTTTCCTGTTGTTTTTAAAAAATCATTGTTTTAAAACTGTATGTATTTAAGGAGTACAATGGGATGTTTTGAGATATATGTGTCTATACACGCACACAGTGGAATAATAAAATCAAACTAGGGTCCCACTGATTATTAAGATCACTGTGCATGGTCTTAGCTTGTACAGAGTAAGGACTGCCTGCATTTGTAGGTTATAAAAGACCACAATTCTGACTATGTGTTCTTCCCTCTTACAAGCCAATGTTTCTCATGTATTTCAAATCCCAAAGAGATGTTTTGAATTTATTCCATTGGTATTTTACCAGGTTCGGTAGATTATGCCCCTTCATCAACTCCAGCGCCTGGCAACACAGATCCTGTGCTCATCATCCTTGGCTGCTTTTGTGGATTTGTTTTGATTGGGTTGATTTTTTATATCTCTCTGGCCATTAAAAAAAGAGTCCAGGAGACCAAGTTTGGGTAAGTAGACTAGTTAAAAATGTCAGTGATATTGTTGAGGTTGTTATCCAACGATGACGCATTTCCAGTTGGCCCTGCCCCTCACATTGCACCCGAATGGGGGCCCTGCCTTATGCAAGCCCAGCTTCCTTATGTAGCCCAATGCTTACAAAGGCAGCCAACAGTAAAAGTCAGCCCTCGAAAGAGTTCTCATACAGGGAAGATAATCAGTCCCCTTTACTACTCAAACTGGGTTGCTGTTAAAGGATGATTTTTATTAGAAGCCTTAAAACTTACCCCAAGGCCAGGCATGGGATGCTTGACTATAATCCTAGCACTCTGAGAAACTGAGGTGCAAGGGAGGATTACTTGAGCTCAGGAGTTTGAGATCAGCCTGAGCAAGAGTGAGACCCCTTCTCTATACAAATAGAAAAACTAGCCAGGAGACATGGCAGGCACCTTGTAGTCTCAGCTCCTCAGGAGGCTAAGGCAAGAGGATCATTTGAGCCCAAGAATTTGAGGTTGCTGTGAGCTATGATAATGATATGGCGACAGAGTGAGACTCCATCTCAAGAAACAATTAATTAAATTACCCCCATTATACCTATAATCATAGCTCTCTGAGAGGCTGAGGCAGGTGGATTACTTGAGCACATGAGTTCAAGACCAGCCTGAGCAAGAGTGAGACCCATCTCTAGTAAAAATGAAAAACTGAGATAAGAGGATCCAAGAGTTTGAGGTTGCTCTCTACCAAAGGCGACAAAGTGAGATCTGTCTCAAAAAATCAATCAATCAATCAATTAATAATTTAAAAAATAATTAATAAAAAAAGAAATGAAAATATTTCTACCAGCCCGGCCTCCACTAACTCATGAATTTTGCACCCAAACGTATCTTAAATGTATGTTTTGTTTTTTTGGAGACAGAGTCTCACTTTGTCATCCTCAGTAGAGTGCCCTGGCTAGTCTTGAACTCCTGTGCTTTGGCAATCCACCTGCCTTGGCCTCCCAGAGTGCTAGGATTATAGGCATGAGCCACCACAGCTGACCTCTTAGATGAGTCTTTGATATCTTTGATTCAACCCTGGTTATAATAATCTGGGAAAATTTGAGGTTGGGGAAAATAGTAGAATTTGCCAGAAAGTGCATTTGCTGAGTACAGTAAGTACATTAACAAGACTATGGTACTATTTCAAATATTTAGGAATGAAAGTATTCCCAGGAACTATCAAG